TTTTTAAGACGTCGACTGGCAGTTATTTCTCCACCATTCATTGCTTTCAACTGGGCCATTAAAAATATATCTTGTTCAGATCTAGAGACGCTTCACGTAATTCAGCAAACCTTACTCTCGGTATCTTTTTTGAGCAACCACAATTGCAACCTATCTCCAAAAAGCGCATGGCTTTTTCATATTCGGTTGAACCACTATATTCGCTATTTTTCATATACAGGTAATCCTATGTATATATTTTATCATTTTCGCGAATAAGAATTTATAAAGCGTTAAGTCGATGCATTAATTTAATATTGGGTTGATACGAGATTTTCGAACTATTTTACTGTAGTTTCGTCAAAGCCGGGAATAAATCACGTTTAATTGAACCTATATTTACCATTACGGTTCTGTTATAAAAACGACTTTGGCATTCAAGTAAATGGTCTAAGTGAAATTCCAACAACGAGTTCCAACATGAAGAACTCCCATTCAAAAAACAAGGCTTACAAAATGGAATTCAATAAAGTTTCTTCTAGCAGAATGGGCAAATATAAGATTATCTTTTTTTTGTGACTGCATTGTCAGTATTTCAATCACTGAATTTTTACACTTTTGCTAGAAATCCACTAAAGACAAGCACATAAATATATCTGACAGCCACTACATGCAAAGAGACATGAAAAGGATGAACAGACAAAAAGGCTTTAGTGACATTATTGTAACCATGTATCACTGAGTACATCTCCCACTGAGATGTCTGTGCCAACTGCTGATAAAAGTCTCTGCAAGAAGTTCTCACTGCTCGAATCCAAAATCACATTAGAGCAGTCCACCATGAGCTTACCAATACCAACAAGATACATGTTGCAGGCATTAGTGTATGGCTGTGAACCTATTTCTTTCCCACCATCTCCTGGAGGCCAATACTGGAGCCTGTAGTTTATAGGTCTGGGCTGACCAGCATGTTCTAAATCAATTATCATCCAACCTCCTCCCTCTTCCTCCCTCCTTCGCAGCACATTTTCCCAACGAATATCCTGGTGCACATAGCCTTGGGTGTGCAGAGAATTCAAACCTGTGAGCACTGATTTCATAGCTTCTTTCAACATTTGCAAAGAACATGGATGCTGATGAAAACCCAGTGGATGGAGTGTAATGGTGTATATCGTCCCACTGAGTTTTGGCAGCTTCACTTGATGGATTATATGTGTCTCATGCTTGGTCACTCAGTATATCTTTTTCAAGTCCTGCAACATGCATACCAAGACTTGTTCTGTTACTATTCTTGATGAGCTATCTCACATATGCCACAAACTCAGAATGCTTACCTCAATCTTGGAATACTTAAATAGCATTCCAAAATTATGGATTTTCTTGTGGACTCCATCAGGGAGAAATGTAATCTATTTGGTACATGGAATGTAAGGTTTCATCCAATATAATCTCTTTCAAATCAGAGCATGCTTCACCATTGATTATTACCTCTGAAGTTGGTCGCATGATACTACCATACAATGGTATAGTAGAAGGAATCCACTCCTTCAAATGATGGAAGCATTAAAAAATGTTTATGGCAGTTGCCACCATGAGTACTTGGTGATGCACCAAACCCAGGTCGAACTTGATACTGAGGATCTCGAGGTTGCCATGTTTGGTAATCATGTAAAAGCTGTTTGGAGAAGCATGGGTTAGTCATAAACATCTGGCAATGAAGCTAACAGGAATACCTGGAACAACTGAAGATATTTTCCTGCAGCAGTGAATGCAAAAATGTAGTCTAATTTGCCAAAAAAATAGTGGGCTCCACTCTGACATTTTAGTGCAAAGTTCACTTTCTGCCCAATTAAACTCCTTGTTGAATCTTTTTTCTTCTCCTTTCAGGATCAATGTAGATTCCATCCAGCACATGAAATCTGGTCTCTTGTTGGCAATGGTTGCAGTTGACTGATCTTTTGAATTGCAGTCGAAGTATCCCATGTTGAAATTCTATTGTTTTCTGTGCCTGATGGTGTAGATGCTTTGATTGCATTATTGAATAAAAGACTTAATTGTGGATAGTCAAGTTTGTTTGTTTCTTTATGCAGGATCACACAGCCTTTAAGAAACATTGAATCACAAGGCACGAGATGGATCTCACAGGAATTTCAGTGATAGGCAGCATCTTGAGAAGCCCCTTAAGCTCCTCAAGAGAGGATGGATAGGTGTCAAAGGCTTGTCCAAGCTTTTTAAAGACTCAGTCTGTGAGTTCAGGGTAGGGTTAGTACTGCATTATGACAACAAAAAGAGCAGATATCAGTCTATGCACATTCTTCTGCAATTTCTGAGGCTTTTCATTTCAAACTTGTTCCTAATGTAAAAAAGCATGAATTACAACCCTACTCTATGTTCCCAATGCCCAAGTCACAAAGTTGTTACCTGGTTGAGCAGCTGCAATCAATGCATCACCCCACTTCTCATCCAGAAACTCTTCTCATTTGCTAGCTTGTTCGTCTCCCCTTGGTACCTTACAGCAAGCACTGCTTTTCTTTTCATCTTAACATCCTGGTTCCATTGATTTGTTCCCCCAAGAAGCTTAAACTTGGCAAATAGTATAATATTCCTAAATTTGTTTTGGTTTGTCTCCCAGGACTCTGCTGATTGCCACTGAGAACCCCATAATGGTCAGCCAAACCAAATGATATCATGACCTGAACCATTCTCATTGAGTGAAACATCGACACTACTACTACAAATCCCATTGATGATTGAGTGTGCAGTCATGGGCATAAATGACAAAAAGAAGATGAAAAAGCCAACCTCAAGCAATCCATTGTGGCCAGGTAGATGAATGGTTTATGGACTTTACGGTTAGAATCCCTTGCCTAAGAAATGTTATTTTTCAGTTACAGACTCATCATAAGTAACAAACTAAGGATTTCCAAAAATACATACTGAAGGATCATGCTCAAGTTGAGGTGCCAAATTGGCAACCAATGAATTCGTATCTGTCAAGAGACCAGTAACATAAGCCTTATATTTGAATAGGGCATGCCGAACTGCTCTAAATGCCTGATTTTTTTTAGTAACATCCACCTGATCCTTCTTTTTAGCTACAAGATGAGTTAGAAGCATGAATATTGATCATGGTAAGAACTGCATTTTCTCAGAAATTGGAGATAAATTCATACAGAGGAGAGCAGATGCTTCATTGATAAAAAGAATTATCTTCTCTTTAGTTTGCGGCATCTCTTCCTTTCCATGATTGGCATTGACAGTGTTCCAGAAATCTGTGGCTTGTTGCTAAAAGAATGTCAGAGTATATTTGTATTAATACTTGGCAAATAAAACAATTACGTTACCTGGTCTTTCAACAATGCTTGTTGATATTTCTCTTGTGGCTGCTTCTTGCAAAATTCTTCTTTTTTCTCATGAAACATCGAGACAATAGATCGAATCCAGCCCAATGCTTCAACTTCAGCTTCATCTACATCCTTTGCTGCATTTATGTTTCTTAGCATATCCATACTCTTCAGGGTGGCCAGAGGGTATCCAGTTGAGCCACTTTCGCGAAAACAGACATACACAAAGGGAAATTCAGCTGCAAGTTCACAGCCTGCCCTTGTCTTTCCATACCCTGATGACTGGATGATAGTCAAGTAATTGAAGTGGTCATCAGTGTCTGCAACTTGACTTATCCGTTGGCATAGCGCATGTAGATAGCCGACAGGATCTCAGAACGAGACGTTAAAGGCCCTCTCAAGTTTGCGCGTTTGACTCGACCCTGAAACTTGTTGTACTAGGCCACTTTGAGCTAGACATAAGTATAAGTTTGATTAATCATCGAGCTAATTCTTACCTCTACCTAACAATGAAATGGCAGTAATGGATTGCACATACATTTTTCATATAAACACATATGTGTAACATATGTTCGCTACTTCACTGAAACACAGTTTTATTACAATTAGTTGGATAAACTCGTTAGTACGTTTTCGAAAAGTATAGTTAATTAGCTCTCAAATGGTGCAAAGATCATGTTATTTGCTTAGTAGATACAGCCGATAGAGGTTTTCGAAAAAATCTATTTTTCATTGATCGGCAAAATCCAGCAAATACTTTTTGGTAGTGAGTGTAGTATTAATTTAATTTCTTCCTCATGTCCTTGGTGCCATCATTTCCCTCTTTCTATTTCACATCTGTTCCACTCATGCTCTCATGCTTCTC